GCACCTCATACCAACTGTCAGCACATTGGTGGAGGGGTGATGATTTGGGCTTGTTTTGCAGCCACAGGACTTGGACACCTTGCAGTCATTGAGCCGACCATGAACTCCTCTTTATGCCTAGAGTCTAGAGATGTGAGGACATCAATCCAAACCTCAAACTCAGCAGCAAATCTATAACAGCAAGTCTGCCAAACAGAAGGAAGAAGTCCAGCCCTCAGGCTTAAAACAACACCTCAATGAACTGAAGCAATACTGGCAGGCATACTCGCATCTATCTATAGATGTCGCTCCATGACCCAGACGTATCGGTAATAAGTGTGGTTACATGTGTAAACTGATAATGGTCTAAAACGAATTTCCACCTTACTCAGCCCAACTTTACTAACGTATTGCACCAGAACAAACTGGGTTTGTGTAAGAAATGTACAATTGGTATTTACAAAGAGAGCGCAATGACAGGATCGCATGGTAGAGGTGGCAACTGGGAAGTTTTGCAACTGACCCATAGTTCACTAGCACATAGTACAGGGAGGAGAATATTTAAGTGTACAAAGTGACCAAAGGATTGTGCTCAGTGCAATTTTGCCCTGCTTAGTAAATCTGTCCCTTAATTACTGTCATAATAATAATAATAATAATAATAATAATAATAATAATATTTATATTTATATTTATAACTTGTAATTTCTTAAAATCAGTCTTGAAAACAAATGGATAAAAAAACCCAACACGGCTGGCATGTACAAAACCATTAATGTCATCACTTTGTGTTTGTGGGTGCAGGGGGGCCTACTCCTATGTGAAGAGAGTAACTCGCAAGAACGGAAAGACCGAGTTTGCTGCCAAATTCATTTCTGCTCGTGGAAAGAGGAAAGCCTTGGCTCTCAGAGAGATGGAGCTTCTGTCTGAGCTGGATAACGAGAGGATTCTCTACTTCCATGACGCCTTTGAGAAGAAGAACGTGGTGGTGCTTATCACAGATTTGTATCCTTTCACTAGAACATACAGTGAAATCTGTAATCTACGGTTTACAGAAAAATGTTTTTTCCTCCTGCATCTCCGATTCACATTTTATCTTCTACATTGTCGAACAAAAGTGCACTTAAATGCATCTCAAGTACAAGATGCACAGCATTAATCCTAACGTCCCCCCGTACCCCCTGGAGGCATGAATGAAGCAGCCGAGCTTTTTCTCTCTGACTCATCGCTGCTGAGAGGAATTAGCAAGAGATAGAGTGTGGGGGAGTTTTGCTCATTTATAATTCATTTCTCATGCACCTACCAGTCGGACTATGCAATCAAGTAGCTGCTGCAGCAGCAGCTTTGTTTTTCTTTTTTCTTAACTCTTGTACAAAGATGTCACGAGGAGTTGCTGGAAAGAATGGCCAAGAAAACAACAGTCATGGAACTGCAGGTTTGTGTCTTTCTGCTGACTGCACTGCGCTTTCATTATGTAACGCGCCTTTTAGGATTCACTCCTGTTGTGTTTCATGCTACAGATCCGCAGCAGTGTTCAGCAGGTTTTGGAGGGTCTTCGCTATCTCCACCAAAAAAATATAGCTCACCTCGACATAAAGGTATGTCGCTATATAAATCCAATCCATTATTATTATTATTATTATTATTATTATTATTATTATCTGTCCCACCACAAGCACTGTATCAGATTTGATTGACCTTTTATGAATTCCTAATGTTGTTGTTTTTGTACACATCCCCTCTAGCCAGAAAATATTTTGATGGCAAGTCCAGGGAGTGATCAGATCCGCATTTGCGACTTCGGGAATGCCATTAAATTGGAGACTTCAGAGGAGCACTACTGCAAATACGGCACTCCAGAATATGTCGCTCCAGAGATTGTTAACCAAACTCCAGTTTCCACAGCAACAGACATATGGTCAGCCACCTGTTCTCTGGCATGGAGAAGTGACTAGGCACAGCAGGCACTATATACACTCACAGTTATCTGCAAGTCCATCAAATTTCTGTGTTTATCTGTGCTTTTATGTTGCTCTTCAAATTCCAAGTCACGTATCTGTCCTGCTCTCCCACAGGCCTGTTGGTGTCATCACTTACCTCTGGTACGCTTTCTTCTTCTTCACAGCATGTGTGTATTTAAACCCAATCAGTCAATCTGACATCTTGCTAAATAAAACACCTGTTCTTTTTTTGCTTTAGCCTGACCGGCGTGTCACCTTTTGCGGGCGAGAATGACAAAGCCACTGCTTTAAACATCAGGAACTACAATGTGGCGTTTGAGGAGAGCATGTTTTCTGACCTCTGCAAAGAAGCAAAAGGATTTGTCATCAAGCTTTTGGTGGTGGACAGACTGTAAGCATTTTGATGCCTCTTAGTTTTGTACCATAAAAATACTGCATATGAACCAACTGTGCTACAGTTCACAGATTAAACATGTCTGAACTGTAACTGTGTCCCAAACCTAGGAGGGCAAGTGCCATCGAGTGCCTTCGTCATCCTTGGTTCAAGGTGAGCTATCACTGGAACATCTACCATCCTGCTGACTGTGTCACTGATTCATGAGATGTAGTTATGTCTCTGTTAATGGTGCCCCCACCTATTGTTTTGTCTTGCAGTCACCAACAAACAAAAGCATCAGCACAGCTATGCTAAAACAAGTTTTGGCTCGAAGGCGATGGCAGGTAACAGACGACAAAACGTTCATTTAGCATTTGGAAATCAGGGTGAAATGCATAAAGACACCACGGGCTGATTCCTGCTGAGGGATTGAGGCTTGTTTTTGAATAGATTTATCATGTTTCTCCAAACATGATGCTTTATGGACAAACATCTCCACTTTGGTCTTGTCTGTCCAAATGACATTGTTCCAGAAGTCTTGGGGTTTGTTCAGATGCAGCTTTACAAACCTAAACCATGCTGTCATGTTCTTTTGAGAGACAAGAGGTTTTCTCCTAGCAGCCCTTCCAAAAAGGCGATACTTGTTCATTTTTTTCTAATTGTACTCTCATGAACTTTGACATTTAACATGCAACCTGAGGCTTTTAGATTCTTCGGTTGCTCTTCGGTTTACAGTTAAATAAGTGGTTAAAATGATTTGCACTCTGCTTTTATTCACACTTTATACAGAGTTTTGGAAACAGGGGCGTACTTGGATTAGAGACTAATCCCACAAAATCCTCTGCTAACTATTTCAGCGTTCCCTCATCAGTTATAAATCCAAAATGGTGATGCGGTCCATCCCTGAGCTCCTAGATGACTCAAGCAGCCATGTCTCCATTGCTGTGGCCCGGCATTTAAAAGAAGGCTCCCCGCTACCCTCCTCTTCGTCTGATTCAGATGCAGATGTGGATGAGCTTCCCTTTATTCCTATGCCACTGTCCATGGTTTTCTCGGGTTCCAGGGTCTCCCTCAATGAGATCCCGGGGGATGTAGATGTTACGGGACGGCACGGTTTCATTGCAGATGGGACAAGGAAAAAGGAAAGCATAGGTGCAAATAATAGAGGAGGGACTACTAAATGCATAAAAGATGAAGACATAACCCCAAATGAGGTGCAAACAGAAAATATAAAACGAGCTCTCTTGAAAAAAGGATCAAGTGTGGAGTCAGACGAATGCCAGACAAAAGCCAGGCGGTCTACAATGAGGAGGGGGAGTTCTGCCGATTCAGCGCTGCTTCTCCACATTGACCCAGAAGAAGAAAGTGCAGAAAAGGAATTAGAAGAAAGAAACAAGAGTTTGAAAAAGGCTGTTTCCATGGAACTACCCAATCGCAGTCCAAGCCCTGGGGCTACAAATTTAAGCCAGGAGGATTACGCCCTAAAACTGGAACTGATGAGACAACGGCTGCTCAGAGGAGGAAACGTGGACAAAAATATGAGTGGCCTTCGAGGGCCCCTTTTTGAAACACTCGGCATTGAAGATGAGAGGCAAACAGGATCCCTTGATCGGAATTTGAGGAGATCAAGAACTGGGCCGTCAACCCTCGTCAGAGCAGCTTCCTCTGAGAGTCCAGGAGAAGACACGCCAAAGACCAAAGTTTTTCGCAAAAGTACCTCTTTCACTCAGGGGGATTCTGAGCCCATGCCCCTGCACCGAAGGTTTGGAGCCCCCTTAGAGATACCATCTGTGGGTAGTTCTAGCATAGTAGGGAAGAAGCTCCAGGAGGCAACTTCGATGTCTGCACTAACAGAAGACACAAAAGC